TTAGTATTACACAGGAGCTCGTTTAGTATTCTATTTTCATATATTTCTACGCGTCGTCCTTTTTCGATTACATGTTTTTGGAAACGTTTATGAGAACTACATCTGAACTGGGCTAATGGAACACGAAATATCTGCGAACACATTTCTGTTGAGGCCATTACAGATGCGAGCGAGCGAGTGAGTGAGCTAGTGAGTGAGTGAGTGAGTGAGTGAGTGGTGTTACGCCGCTTTTAGCAATGTTCAAGCAATATCACGGCGGGGGACACCAGAAATGGGTTTCACACATTGTACACATGTCGGGAATCGAACCTGTGTTTTCGGCGTGACGAGCGAACGCTTTAACCATTAAACGTCCCGACAGCCCCATTACAGATATGAGACTTATGTTTGGCATAAGAGCGGCATTACCACGAAGCAACCAATGCAAGTACATATATTTTAATGTTTGCTGTAGTATTGCTGATATGACAATATATGGATTTTGTACGCACTGATCATGTTTAAAAGTATCCACAGCCACAGTTTGGAAGTACAGTAATTCTCATATAAAAAATTATATGATGTGATCAGTTGCACATGTATGTCTCGCTGTCCAACCTATTTCACACAAGATTCGGTAGGAAGACGTGGGGCAAGAAATGCGAAATTCAATGTTGAATGGCATCTCACTGGTTAAAACTCAATCAAGACAAGACAGACTTCATCTTGATCGGATCCAAACACCAACTTAAGCATTGTACAGACAGAGTTTCATCATCTTCATATTGACAATAACATCATCTACCAGTCAGATACAGTAAATGTATTGGGTGTGGTTCTAGACCAACAACTTCCCATGAACCATCATGTTATACGGGTGTGTCAGACAGCAAAGTATCACCTCAGAAATATCGGAAAGCTAAGACCTCATCTCACAAGACCTTCAACTGCAAAGCTAGTTCTTTCTCCAGTAATGTCCAGTATGGCTTATTGCATCAGCCTCCTTACGAATGACAAAAGACCAGATGTACAGACCAGACTCCAGAAACTCCAGAACTCGACAGGCCAGCTAAAATCAGCCACGTCACTCCCATACTTTGGCTCCCAGTTGCAGCTCGCATTGAATTCAACAGCATACAAATGTGTCAACAACATTGCCCCCAAATATCTCACTGAACTCTTTCCACTCTACTCTCCATAGAGAACTCTCAGATCTCAACAACAGAAACTATTTTCTGTTCCCAAAATCAGAACATCCACGTTTGGCGAAAGAACATTCTCCTATTCCGCAGCGATTCTATGACACTCTTCCAGATAATGTGAAATTATCCCCAGATACAGATTAAAATAAAAAATGCAGCAAAGAGGGTTTGGGTGGTCCTGGCACAGTCAGGCTGGTTAGGCTCATCATCAGCTCAGGGCCCTTTCCCCCTCTACACGCAGCCCAGACAGCGAATGGGACTTCTCCCAAAAAGCGCTGCCTAGTCAAACCCACCCAGAACTTTTCGGAGAATATGAAGACTCCCCAACGCTGCAGCCTTCTGCAGATTGTCAGAAGGGCTGTATTCCTGGTAGCAAACCCGAGTACCCTCCCAATGTCAGTTAACAGATTGGGAGGTACCAAACCTAAGGCACCGAGAACAACTTGGTACTGATGCAAGCGTGACATTTCGAAAGCGAGGTCCGCATATTTGCCATGTTTTTCCTCAATCTTGACAATGACATTAGTGTCAAAAGGGACAGAAAATTCAATGATATATATATATATCATTGAATTTTTTGTATTATATATTATTTCATTGGATTTATCAAAAAAGGACAAGATCAGGTTTGTTGGCCTGGATACGTCTGACGATGTATACGGACCTATTCCAAAGACTTGTGTATTTATCATATTCCATGACGCCCTCAACATATTCTGGGTCGCACCATGGATGGATCCCTGTGTCAAAACCACAAGCATTGCGAGGACGGTAATAAAAGGATCGAGCCATTCAATCATGTCGCTTAAGATACTGTGTCTGTGCCTAAGCTGGGCATCCACTGAAAATGTGATGGACAGTCTAATTAAATTCATTACATAATCTACATTTCATATTTACATTTTGATGCAAAATCACATGCTGCCGGTTTCGAGTGGGGAGTGACTGGTCTTTAGCAGCAAACAGAAAACCTTCTGTTTCACTTTTCAGGCCAGTCGACTTCATCCAAGCGAAGGACTCTGCGGGGTTGCTGTGCTTCTTAACACACTTCACATAAACCCAATGAGTGAGTGAGTGAGTATGGTTTTACCCCGCTTTTAGCAATTTTCCAGCAATATCACGGCGGGGGACACCAGAAATGGGCTTCACACATTGTACCCATGTCGGGAATCGAACCCGGGTCTTCGGCGTGACGAGCGAACGCTTTAACCACTAGGCTACCCGACCGCCCTAAACCCAATGACGTGGTCGTTATTATTAATACTATTTTTTATTATTATGGTTTTGTTTGTTGTTTAACGCCGCACTCAGAAATATTCCAGCTATAATAGGGCGATATGTAAATGATAGAGTCTGGGCCAGACATCCAGTGATTGACATCATGAGCATAGGCCAACGGAAAATATGGGTTCCTGAAGGCCTATTCTACCCGGATATTCACGGACGACAAGTGTGTATTAATTATTGTCGTGTGTAGGCAAGTGTGTATTAATAACTGGCATTTGTAGGCAATTGTGTATTAATAACTGTCATGTGTAGGCAGGTGTGTATTAATTACTGTGTTGTATAGGGAAGTGTGTAATAATAAGTGTCATGTGTAGGCAAGTGTGTATTAATCACTGTCATGTGTAGGCAAATGTGTATTAATAACTGTCATGTGTAGGCAAGTGTGTATTAATAACGGGCATGCGTAGGCAAGTGTGTATTAATAACTGTCATGTGTAGGCAAGTGTGTATTAATTACTGTAATGTGTAGGCAAATGTGTATTAATAACTGTCATGTGTAGGCAGGTGTGTATTAATTACTGTAAAGTGTAGGCAAGTGTGTATTAATTACTGCCATGTGTAGGCAAGTGTGTATTAATAACTGTCATGTGTAGGCAAGTGTGTATTAATTACTGTCATGTGTAGGCAAGTGTGTCTTGAGTAATGTCATGTTTAGGCAGGTGTGTATTAATAACTGTCACGTGTAGGCAAGTGTGTATTATTAACTGTCATGTGTAGGCAAGTATGTATTTATTACTGTCGTGTGTAGGCAAGTGTGTATTAATTACTGTCGTGTGTAGGCAAGCGTGTATTAATTACTGTCATGTGTAGGCAAGTATGTATTTATTACTGTCGTGTGTAGGCAAGCGTGTATTAATTACTGTCATGTGTAGGCAAGTATGTATTTATTACTGTCGTGTGTAGGCAAGCGTGTATTAATTACTGTCGTGTGTAGGCAAGTGTGTATTAATTACTGTCATGTGTAGGCAAGTGTGTATTAATTACTGTCATGTGTAGGCAAGTGTGTAATAATAACTGTCATGTGTAGGCAAGTGTGTATTAATCACTGTCATGTGTAGGCAAATGTGTATTAATAACTGTCACGTGTAGGCAAGTGTGTATTAATAACGGGCATGCGTAGGCAAGTGTGTATTAATAACTGTCATGTGTAGGCAAGTGTGTATTAATTACTCTCTGACCACCCGTTAGTCGCTTCTCACGACAAGCATAGCCACTTTTTACAGCAAGCATGGGTTGCTTAAGATCTATTCTACCCCGGATCTTCACGGGTAGATATACCTATAGACTGCTTGAGATGAACACACATTATTCATTATTCATAGGCATCGTTCACAGCCGAAAATAAGTAATAAAACAACTTCGTAACAACGTGATTGCTACCTTTACAAATAAACATACCCAATAGTTTTCAGCACAAAAATCAAATGCACATTAACGACAAGTACCTTGACAAAACAATAAAGGCATATCTGCTTTTTACAGATCATGAAACTGTAACCGACGACTGAAAGAACACACTATAGTACTTGTTGTTTTATTATTTATATGTTGTGATTCACTGTTACGGAACATCCATGCCAGAGTTGTTGTTCAATCCCCCGAAGGCCTGATTTCCAACTGGACGGGGTCAAATGTATAGCACGCGCAGATGGGACAGAGGACCCCGCGAAAAAATATAGTGACGTATGAGACTGCCGACGAACATTCGTCACCACTCGCCCCTTTCCGTAACCTGCAAGAAGAGTCACGAGTCGCTATTCGGCTTGTCCCGGAATAACACGAGTTGGTCACGAATGTGCCGACGAAGACAATCAAGCCAATTTTGTCGAGACTCGGAAGTCATGAAAGGCTTCGTACCACATGAACGCATAATGCACAATGAGAGTAGGTAAAAGCAAAAACAGAAACACCTTCCACGAATGCATCACATAGTCACGTAACTTTTGGAACATCTTTACAATCCACCCAACATATAGTAATCTATTATGTAACACAGTACAGTACAGTACAGTAACTAACAACTAGTTATATCAATTATATGCATGCATTTCTAAAAATCATTGGGGCAGTTGCGTAGCTTAGTGGTTAAAGCGTTCGCTCGTCACGCCGAAGGCAGGGTACGATTCCCTGCATCGGTACAATGTAGCAAGACAATATCTGGTGTCCTACCACGCCGTGATGTGACTGAAATGTTGCCTGAAGCACTTAAACCAAACGCACACGCTCACTTCAGACATAAGGAACATAAATAAATAAAAGTGTTGTGTTACCCAACCAGGCATGTGTCTGGATTTCGGGATTCAAATGACCTGACCCATACTCTCTGTTTTTCTACCCGGGTAGCGATGACTGGTCGATCCACTATGTTGGAGTCAGTGATTTGTAGGGTACTTGCTGCCCTGCAGCTAACTCAAGATTACACATATTGTATTGCGACTCCTATATCAACAATAACACGGGTATGTTCATAAGGGCAAAGTGCGTGCTGTCTACAGGCTTACTCCTGAAGTAGTTTGTGTTAACCTTGTGTTTACCTTGTGTTTACCTTGTGTTTACCTTGTTTCATATTCATACCCCTCACGGCCCATAGACGTGGACATTCAAAGGAAATACCAGAGAAGCGCTTGTTGGCTTGATTATATAATAGTCAGTGATCTTAAAAGGAAGTCTCGCTGTTAGCTAACGGGTGTAGTTGTGAGTGGTTGACCCAGTGTCTCGCCTTCCTGCACACGGCACTGCCTTTCCTGAGCAAATTTTCACTGTCCGTCAGTGTAAGGGTAAAGCTGTATGTGAATGGTTCATCCAGAGGTTTGTCTTCCTCTGTTCCTTCCTACGGAGTGTAGAAGCTCACTGTCCGTCAGCATGGCGACTGCGACTGTGTTTATAATGTTAGTGATTGTTCTTGGGGGACTCTGTGATCTGAGTGTAGCCAGACGTTCCTTGAACGTTACAGAGAGTCCCGTCCGTCCCAGGCGCCAAGCTGTACACGTACACAAGCATACCAGTGGCACCCGGCACAGCCAGAGCTCCACTTACATCAAAGAAGAAGGGAAATATTTCCTGAAGAAGATATTTGAGAAATATGGACATGGGGAGAAAGAGATTCTCTTGGCTGACTTTGAATTGTTGTTAGGGCGAATAGGATTCGAACCCGAAAGGGTTGATGATGCCCATGGTCACGTGATGGAAGAACATGAGGGACCAGAACACCAAGTGGTCCGTGACCTTGAACCAGGCGCGAGCACCGAGAAGGGGGGACATGGCGATGGTGAGGGTGGAGGAAACACACACGTGAAACATGGCGTGGACAACGCTAGCCGCGACCATGAGAACAGTGGCCATGGGGAGAAGGTGAAGAGAGGTCATGGCGGGCATGGACAGAAAGGTCATCAGTCAAAGAGTGACCCTGACCACGCTGGTGGTACTGGTCACCATACTAATAAAGGCCGCAGCACACGTGTTCGCAGGGACTTGCAAACTAGACACAGGAAAGCATCCCGTGACTTTCCAAGGCTTGGCAGTGGCCCTGACGCCCAGTCTGTTGTCATCCACACCCACGACCTGCACACTGAATGCCTGTCTGTACAACAACTCATCCAACTCTACCATGCCGACGAAAGAGGTAAGATTGGCAAAAAGGATTTTTTATTCATGTCCCCTGCCATTGTGTACCAGCTTGACAATCCCCACTGCCGCCGTCGACACGACGAGATCCACCACCGCCACGTTGCGCCGACGTCCACTGTCCCTGCAGCTGCTCGAGTTTGGGGATACAGCACAGCTGCCGTCGTCGTCATCAGTCTCGTCGGCTTGTTGGGTGTGGCTGTCATTCCAATTATGCAGAAATTCTTCTTCAACCAACTGTTGCAGTTCCTCGTGGCCATGGCGGTCGGTGCCCTCACTGGGGACGCCATGCTCCATCTGCTACCCCACGCCATCGCCGGCGGGGAGACGGCAGCAGGCGCTGACAAGGACCACGACCACGACCATCTGGACAGTGTGTGGAAGGGACTTTGTGGGCTGCTAGGAATCTACTTCTTCTTCATCGTTCAGCGACTGATGGTCATCCTGACAGGGGCGAGGAACAGGAGGATGGAAAGGAAAAAGGCGAAGGCAAAACATGCATTCAGTGATGAACCAGATCTGTCCGCAGTTGCTGTGAAACTTTCCTCGTACAGCGAGTCTGATTCGGAAGAGGACGGTGACATGGTGACAACTGTCAACAGTGAGTCCCAAGCTGAACAAGCAGTGCCACTGAAACAGGAAACAACTCAGAAGGTCAGGGGTCAGTCAGCCACTGGTCACTCCCGCTCTGGACACGGGCACTCCCACATTGACGGCCCTCTGCCCGCCACAGTCTCCGCCGTAGCGTGGATGGTCATCCTTGGGGACGGCGTCCACAACTTCAGCGACGGCCTTGCTATCGGGGCTGCATTTGCTAACAGCATCACTGGGGGAATCAGCACCGCCATCGCTGTCTTCTGTCACGAACTTCCTCACGAGATCGGGGACTTCGCCGTGCTTCTGAAAGCTGGCATGTCAATCAAGCAAGCGGTTGTCTACAACTGTCTGTCCTCCGTGCTGTGTTTTGTTGGGATGCTTATTGGTGTGGCGCTGGGAAACATTGAGGAAGCTTCCATGTGGATTTTCGCATCTGTTGGTGGAATGTTTATCTACATCTCTTTGGTAACCATGGTACCGGAACTGACGTCAATGGATACCCAGAATCCACTCCGTGACCTGTTCCTGCAATGTGTAGGCGTGTGTGTTGGTTCAGGAATCATGTTGACCATAGCTGTTTACGAGGAAGACCTCCTTAACGTCCTTGGCTGACCATTGACTCACTCTCATTAAAAATGGGCACTAATTTGTATTCGCGTGATCGTGGCCTATAAAGACTGTAAGTCTGACTGAATGTAACCACAATTTAATCATTTCAGCGAATTTATATATGTATCTCACTGAATGAAATATATACCAACCTTGTAGGAGTTTGACAATGAAAAGAAAGAAAGGTGACAAGGATAATTGCGTGATCTGACAATGATCGTTGTGAACCAGATACTGATGCCAATGTTGCAATTCACACGTCATATCTGATATCTCCACTTATCATATAATGGGTAGGTTTCTCGGCAGGATAAAGCCAACGGATAAAAACGATATCCGTTGGGGTCATATGCGGATAGAGATGCAAATATCAAAGGTCAAGTAGGGATTACTTTCACTGTTTATAAACAAACATGGCGTCGCCCTCGTCATTCGGCGATCGAGTTAGAATTAACCATCGTGAATCTGGATAAACTACAGGGATAATTGCTATCATTATCAAAAGAACAGTCTAATATACTGAAACTTTGGAGATATAAATTTCGAAACATTTGCGAGGGCACGAGGCCTAGCCAAGCGGGATCAGTAGCCATATCTATGCTTGTAGACCTCTGCGGCTTGAAACCTTGTCCACAAATTAAAATAGTTGGATTTGGCCGAAATATGTTTGAATTGTTACCTTGTTTCGTTTTGTCGCTGTGTGTACATCTGACTACACTTCTTAATTAAAGTCAGATCTAAGTTCTCTTCTCGCTGCCGCTAAACAAAGATCTGAGGACCTCCCACAACGGGTCATGTCAGAACGACCTTTCGCGAACTTTGACCGACCACTGAAATTACTAACAAGAAGTCGACATCAGCCAATTAGAAAGCAGCTTTCTCGAGCTTTACGACACTCGTTTCAAACCTGGCGACTTCAATTTCAGACTACGCTTGAAAACTATGTTGACCCTGTTTGAAAACTGAACAAACAAACATTCTGGAATGTCTAATATATGGTTGAGCTTGTATGGCAGTGCTTCCCACATACTGTGCAACGCCTCTTCTGTTCAAATGTTTATCCCAAGGAAGCGAGTGATAGACGATGATTTTGACGGAATCAGTCGTACGGGCCGTAACTGCCGTTTGGAATACCCCGTGATAAAAAAAATCGTTTTCGAGGTTGCACGATCAGAAAACACATTCGGACTGTCACTTTCATGATCTGATAAGCGACGCTTTGATTGGTCGGATGAAAGGTCGTTCTAACGTGACCCGTAATGGGATGTCCTCAGATCTTTGTTTAGCGATAGCGAGAACTAAGATCTGATTTTAATGAGATTGCACAAATCATTGAATGTAACTGGCGACACAGAAACTAAATCCTATTGGTAAGCTGTACGGGAACTTATCATTTCACTAATGGAATTATCCGAGACTTACTATATGATTCCTGGTGTGTTGAAGTTGAGGCAGTGTATCCTCCTGTCATTGCTGGGGTGGGCTATCTCAATCTGTGATAACTGACGTACCTCGGGAGAGGCGCTATGTCAATCTGTGATCTGTTTTCATTTGCTTTTGGTACACAAGATATAACTCCCCTTTTCATTGTCATGCTTTAGCTGAAGTGCTTTTTGTTACAAATCTCTATATCAAGAATAAAAGTTATTTCTAGAAAAGTGAGAAGCACATTTCTGGTGTCCCCCGCCGTGATATTGCTGGAATATTGCTAAAAGCGGCGTAAAAGTATACTCACTCACTCACTCACTCACTATTTCTAGAAAAATGTAAATCATTCTATCGGAAAGCCTTCAACACCAGGGTTGTTATTGTTTTTTTCATGTTTTGAACTGCAAATGACATTTTTTGAGGCTCGGTTTCTCTTACTAATAAGTTTTTCGTTTGGTTTTCTAACGTTGGAGTCTCTAAATTTGTGAATTTTACGTAAATTCTGTCTTCATTGCGATCAGATGTATATATTTTTGTAGTAAACAATTCTTAACTCTTCCAAAGTACAATTGTCGTCTTTTATTACCGAATAACTATATTATAACTTTTATTATAACTGTATTATTAATTTACTGACATAATTTCCATTTTCTCAGTGACAGAAATAACTTGTTGGATTTTCTCCATCCTGATACCATTGCCTTCTATTTCTCTTACTTCCTCTTCTTTTATTTGTACCAGGTCTAATGTGTAGTTTGATAGTTCCGATAGGGTTTTTTAATCCATATGTTGAAAATTTCGCCTTAAGTCATCTTCTCGGTGATTTGTATCTTACTTTCAAATTATTTATTTTATTTTTTTTATTTATTTTTTTTATTCAATGAAAGAAAATAATTTTTTCCCCTTAACTCTCATTAAGAAGGTTTTTAGAAGTAAACTGTCATCTATTTTCCGTTTAATGTTTGACTCACTTTGTTCGCTGTCACTATTCTCAGAGAATAACTGAGAGAGAGAGAGGGGGGGGGGGGGAGTCGGGGCGGGAAGGGAAGACGAAGCCAGATACGGGGAACGGTACAGCGAAGTTGCTGCAGCGTTGTTGGGACAGATTCGGGGAAGGGACAGTCGAAGTAACTTGGAAAAGTGAGACGAAGTTGCTGCAGCGTTGTTGGGCCAGTTACTTGGAAGGGAGAGACTAAGTTATGCAGCGTTGTTGGGTCAGTTACTTGGAAGGGAGAGACGGGGTTGTGCAGCGTTGTTGGGCAAGTTACTTGGAAGGGAGAGACGGGGTTGTGCAGCGTTGTTGGGCAAGTTACTTGGAAGGGAGAGACTACGTTATGCAGCGCTGTTGGGCCAGTTACTTGGAAGGGCCCGACATGGGTACAATGTGTGAAGCCCATTTCTGGTCTGGGCCACATACAGGGAAGGGAGAGACTAAGTTATGCAGCGTTGTTGGGCCAGATACAGGGAAGGGAGAGACGGAGTTGTGCAGCGTTGTTGGGCCACATACGGGGAAGAGAGAGACTATGTTATGCAGCGTTGTTGGGTAACATACGGGGAAGGGAGAGACGGAGTTTGCAGCGTCAGATCAGTGAAGCTTTATTGGGCCAGATACTTGGAAGAGAGAAACGACGTTGCCGCAGCGTTGTTGGCCCAGATACTTGGAAGAGAGTAATGACGTCATTGCCGCGTTGTTTGGCCAGATACGGGCGAGATAGAGACGGAGTTGTGCAGCGTTGTTGGGCCAGATACGGGGAAGGGAGAGACGGAGTTGTGCAGCGTTGTTGGGCCACATACGGGGAAGGGAGCGACGGAGTTGTGCAGCGTTGTTGGGTCACATACGGGGAAGGGAGAGACGGAGTTTGCAGCGTCAGATCAGTGAAGCAGGAAACCCATGCATGCTGTAAAAGGCGACTATGCTTGTCGTAAAAGGCGACTAACGAGATCGGGTGGTCAGGCTCGCTGACTTGGTTGAAGCATGTCATCGTACCCAATTGCGTGGATCGATGCTCATACTATCACTCACTGGAATGTCTGGTGCGGCGTAAAACAACAAACCAAACCAAACCAAATCCAACTGTATTTACCAACATTTCAATTCTGAAAATCGCTCGATCTTTTGCATGCAAACTACGATATTAGATAAAATATACCATCCATCTTATAGCCCAAGTTGCAGATGACTTTATTGAAGGTCCACAGAAAATCATTGCATTCGATCGTTGGTAGTCTTTCTAAGCAGCGAACTGCCAACGTCAATGTGATGAGTCTTTTTCCGGGGTCGACGGGATTTTTTACAAAACGTGTTGACCATAGATCAGTAAAGCTTTCAAAATTTCAAATTTGACGCATCAGTGACAAAAATGGCAAGTGTGTATTAATTACTGTTATGTGTAGGCAAGTGTGTATTAATTACTGTCGTATGAGTCAAAGTTTCTATTAATTACTGTCGTGTGTAGGCAAGTGAGTATTAATTACTGTCGTTTGTAGGCAAGTGTGTATTAGTTACTGTCATGTGTAGGCAAGTGTGTATTAATCACTGTCGTGTTTAGTAGGTCATTTTGTATTAATTACTGTCGTGTGTAGGCAAATGTGTATAAATTACTGTCATGTGTAGGCAAGCGTGTCTAAAGTACTGTCAATTGTAGGCAAGTGTGTATCAATTACTGTCGTGTGTAAGCAAGTTAGTATTAATTACTGTCGTGTGTAGGCAAATGTGTCTTAATTACTGTCGTGTGTAGGCAAGTTAGTATTAATTAATGTCATGTGTAGGCAAGTGTATTAATAATTAATGTAATGTGTAGGCAAGTGTGTATTCATTACTGTCATGTTTAGGCAAGTGTGTATTAATTACTGTCATGTGTGGGCAAGTGAGTATTAATTACTGTCGTGTGTAAGCAAGTGTGTATTAATTACTGTCATGTGTAGGCAAGTTAGTATTAATTAATGTCATGTGTAGGCAAGCGTGTCTTAATTACTGTCATGTGTAGGCAAGTTAGTATTAATTAATGTCATGTGTAGGCAAGTGTATTAATAATAAATGTCATGTGTAGGCAAGTGTGTATTCATTACTGTAATGTTAAGGCAAGTGTGTATAAATTAATGTCATGTGTAGGCAAGTGTGTATTAATTACTGTCATGTGTAGGCAAGTGTGTATTAATTACTGTCATGTGTAGGCAAGTGTGTATTAATTACCGTCGTGTGTAGGCAAGTGTGTATTAAATAATGTCGTGTGTAGGCAAGTGTGTATCAATTACTGTCCTGTGTAGGCAAGTGTGTATTAATTACTGTCATGTGTAGGCAAGTGTGTATTAATTACCGTCGTGTGTAGGCAAGTGTGTATTAAATAATGTCGTGTGTAGGCAAATGTGTATTAATTACTGTCCTGTGTAGGCAAGTGTGTATTAATTACTGTCATGTGTAGGCAAGTGTGTATTAATTACTGTCATGTGTAGGCAAGTGTGTAATAATTACTGTCATGTGTAGGCAAGTAGGTATTAATTAATGTCATGTGTAGGAAAGTGTGTATTAATTACTGTCATGTGAAGGCAAGTGTGTATTAATTACTGTCATGTGTAGGCAAGTGTGTATTAATTACTGTCATGTGAAGGCAAGTGTGTATTAATTACTGTCATGTGTAGGCAAGTGTGTATTATTTACTGTTGTGGTAGGGCAAGTATGTATTAAGTACTGTCATGTGTAGGCAAGTGTGTATTAATTACTGTC